GGGTTTCAGCCTTGCTTGGGCCCCAAACTATCCTCCCAATCTTTCCTTTGGAAATGGGAATGCTTGCTTGACCTCATGTATTGAAAATATGTAACTTATCTTTGACTTTTCAGAAGCTGGTGTCTAAGAGACTGCCCGAGTCTCAGAAACTGGACTTTTGAACAGTGTTGGTTAGGAATATGCAAACTCTTAAAGTTGGACCGAGTTCATTTTGCATTATGAGGAGGCAGAACGTTGTGATTTGAATGTGAAATGCCCCCCACAGGTTCATGTTTGGAACTCTTGGTCCCTAGATGGTGGTGCTGTTTTGGGAGGTTGGGAAACCTTTTGGGAAACAGGACCTAGGTGGAAGACCAGGCCATTTCTGTTCTATCTGCTTCCTGGTCTGCCACATACTCAAGCAGCAGGCACAAGCTCCCACCACCAGATTCCAGCTGCTCCACCATGCCTTCTCCAGCTTGATGGACTGTTTTCCCTAAATCCCTGAGCTAAAATGAATCCTCCATCCCTTAAGTTGCCTCTGCATGTATCCCATCACAATCATGAGAAAAGTAACACATCATGTGGCCATGAGGCCCATCTCTCCTCAGCCCAGTAAGTTGCCCGTCAGCTTTTCAGAGTCAATATAGAGCTTGGAGAACCATGCCATGTATATTAATAAAACTCTAAAGAAAGCCAGGCGTGGTGACGCATGCCTTTAATCTCAGCACTCAAGAGGCAGAGGCAGGCGGATCTCTTTGAGACTGAGGTCAGCCTAGTCTACATAGCAAGTTCCAGGCCAGCAGGGGCTACAGGGAGACAACACACACACACACACACACACACACACACACACACACACACACAAAACAAAAAACCCTAAAAAATACAGGGCATATCCAAATCCAAAGTGAAGGTGACAGTGACCTTCAGACAGGGATGGAGCAGGTACAAGGGCCTTCTAGGCCATTGGTAAGGTCTGTTCATTAGCTAGGGCAGGAGGACAACTGGAAACCTTATTAAAGTATACACATGGGGCATATGGTGCACTTACATACAGCAGGCAAAACATTCATGCACATAGAATAAGAAAACAATTTAAAGTGCACACATTTTAAATAATTTTGGGGGGAACATTTCACATTAAAAGCAAAATCAAACACTGTAGACAAGTGTTTTTAAATGTGAAGAAGATTATTCTTTAAATAATATCATTGTGTGTCTATAGGTCAGAAGACAATTTCATGGAGTTGGCTTTTTCCTTCCACCTTTACATGGGTTCCTTAAATTGAGGTCAGGTTGCCAAAGCATACACCTTTATTCACTGAGCCAGCTCAAGGACCCCACAAAGAGATTTCTTTTTAAATACTTTATTTATTGTTTTTATTTTATGTGTCTGACTGTATTGTCTGCATATGTGTAAGTGCACCCATGTTGTGCAATGTCTGCAGAAGTCAGAAGAGGGCATTGGATTCTCCTGGAACTGGAGTTACAGATGGTTAGCTACCATGTGGGGGCTGAGAACTGTGCCTCTGCAAGAGCAGCTGGTGCTCTTAACCACTGAGTCATCTCTCCAGCCTCCCACAAAGAGATTTCTGATTCATTGGAAGCAGAAGAAAACAAGTTAAAAAAGACATTTTTTATAGCTTGAAGGCATGCTTGTATCCATCTGTGGGCTTAGGAGACACCAAGATGTCAGCGCTGCTTCCACGGTGATGGGAGGTAGGTGCTGGGTTTCTTTTCCTCCTCCTCCCCCTCCTCTTTCTCCGTGCTGCCATAACCAGCTAAGAACCCAGAATTCTTCACCAGAGATGAAGGTCAAGGGGCACCTGACAGCTATGCTCAAATTCTCAAATGGCTGTCATGAGAGAGAAGAATCAGTGTCGTGCTGGTCAGCCCAGGAGCAGACTACTAAAGGAGCCCTGCCTACAGTGAGACAGGCTGTCACGGGAGCCCCCTTCCCCTCCTCCTCCTCCTCCTCCTCCCCCCCTCCTCCTCTTCCTTCTTGTCTGTATCTTTCAATTCTCTTACTATAAACATTGATTACACCTGTAATAAGCATACACACAAATAGGAGGAAATACTCTACTCAAGTCATACTTGGAACTGGGAAGCTAAACTACATGGTTTTGGGAGTGGGCTAGACTTTCTAGGTGTGAATCCTGTGCTGTGTGGCCTCAGGGTTGTCTCCTCATTTCTCTGAGCATGCAGGCTATGGTTGACCGTTTGGGGGAAGGAGGGTGTTTTCCATGTAGCCTCCCTGATAGACAAAACCAGGGGCTGAGTGTGACTGTGCTGTATCCTCAAGGATCATCCCAGAGCTGGGTACCTTATGATGTTGATGGCACAGGCTAAATGCCTGAGATACTCCCATGCTCAGTGTGTGTGTGTGATTCAGAGGGGTGAGGTCACTGTCCCTTTGGAAGGCAGGGGTCTAGTATACTTGGGGTTCTCTTGGAACACACAGGAGAAACCATGAGACTTGAACGTATGGAGATACCCTACATGAGACAGGCGTTTCACTAGGTGGGAACAAAGTGTGCAAAGGTGGAGAAGGGGGTGTGGTAGGCTGGCTTGGCTCCAGGTCCAGGGCCTCAAGCTCCATGTGTTAACTGGCTTGGACTAGATTCCAAGGTTGTGGGAGCCACTGAGTGAGTGTGGGAGCGGAGGAGGGATGTGGCCACACTAAGCATAGCCATTGGAAGGACAAGGGAGGAGCTGGGAGCAGGGAGGGACTGTGGCTGTGATCAGGCTCAGGTGGGGCTGTGATGGTGAGGACAGAGTGAGGTTATAGAGAGGCTTCAGGCACAGTGGGACCTGCATCCTCACCTACATCCAGTCCTGCAATGTAGATCCTGGCAGGAACTTGCATAGCTGGCCTGTGATGTTACCATCTACAAAATGGGTGTGAATTCCACAAAGATGGCCGTGTGTGCGTGTTCGTGTGCATGTGCGTGTGTGCGTGCACGTTTTCACCCCCTTCCTTTGGCCCTGGCCTCAGCAAATGTTTGGGAGCCACATGGAACCAGAGAGGTGGTAGAGCACCACACTGCCTCCTTCTCTGGATCTTCCCAGGAGGCCAAGCTTGATATTCTATCAGTCTCTGGCAGCTCCTCACAGAAGGAGTTGAGGACTGCCAGCAAGTTGGAGGTGTGGCCAGGCCTGGTGCCTGGGGCCTGGGGCCTGGCGCCACAACACTCAGGAAAGTTCTTCAGTTTTTTTCCTTTTGCTTTTGGTGGTGCTGGGGATTGAACCCAGGGACTTGCAAAGCAAGCACTCCACATTGACTTAAAGCAGAATCTAGCCAGGGTTATATGTGTGTTTATGTCAATACAATAAAAATAGAATGAATATATATATATAATTATTTTTATTTTATATGTCTGAGTGTACTGCCTGAATATATGTATGTGCACCCGTGTCTTGCAATGCCCACAGAGGTCAGAAGAGGATATCGAATCCCCTGGAACTGGAGTTACAGAGGTTGTTAGCCACCATGTGGGTGCTGGGAACCGAACCCGAGTCCTCTGCAAAAGCAGTCAGTGCTCTTAACTGCTGAGCCGGCTCTCCAGCTCCAGAGTATATATTTATAATATGTAATCCAGGCTGGGCTCGAACTCACTGTGACCCTGTGGCCTCTGTGCCTCCAGTGCTGGGATTACAGGCACCCCACCCCATTGTCCACAGAACAGAGTGCCCAGCCCGAGACACCCAGAATGGGGCGGACCCCCTCCCTGCTAGGTCTCGGGGTTGGGGGAGGGTGGTCATCTAGGACCACCGTCGGGAGAGAGGAACGGAGGGATGGCCGCACGAGAAGCCAGGGCGGGTGCCTGGGGTGTGGTGCGGGCGGGGCTGAGCCGGGCGGGGCGGGCGGCTGTCTCCCCTGCGCGCATTGCCCTTCCGGCAGCAGCCAGAGCTGGGGTGAGTGGGGACGCGGAGGGGCCGAGGGTGGGTGTGACCCCAACAGCGCCCGCGGGAGCACGGGGAGCCAGGAGGGAAACTGAGGCCGGAGCCGAGGGCCGGCGCCGAGCTGATGGGGCCTGGCGGGACTTCCGGGAGCGCGCGGGGGGCGCGCTGGACCCCGGGGACCGCAGCGCAGGGCCGGCGCCCGGGTGGGGCTCCGGGTGTCCGGCCGGCGGGGAGGGGTGGAGGCCTCGGAGCCAGGCGGGTGGCTCTAGCACGAAGTCCTGCCTCCCCTGCAAGCCCGCGCTGGGATGCGTGGGAACCTGAGGGTCCCTGCGTCCGGCGTCACACTGGCAGAGTGGAGCAGCCAGGGCTTTGAGCCCCTGCCGGTTGATGCCAGTGCCAAAGCTGGCTTCCCGGAAGGCTCCCGTGGCCCTGCGTGTGTCTCTGTCTGCTGGTGGCTGGGCTGAGCTTCCAGAAAGGACTGAGGGTGAGTGACCGAGGGGTGGGCACGACAGACAGCAGGCACGCCCTTTACTCTGACTTCAGTTTGCCATAAGTTGACTTTTGATTGTTTCTTTGATTTGCATCAAATTAAATCTTTTTTACTTCTTTTTGGTTGTGCAAGCCGTTGCCTGAATGCCTGCTTTGTTTGAGAAAGTGGTCATTTTCCCGAGGCAATTTCCCCACACCCCAGACCTCACAGCAACCCCCTCCATACTGCCGGTCTTTCCAGACCCTGTTGATGGCACACTGGTCACTTTCACAATGGGAACAGCTCATAGATGTTATGAGGACTAGCCGTGACTCATTTTAAAAAGTGATGGTGGTGGTGGTTGGGTGGGGGGATCACGAGATTCAGGATGGAGGTAGTAGGAGGGAGGGGACCTGAGAGGGCACCGCCTCCTTGTGTTTCTGGGCCACGGTCTCAAGGGAGACCTAAGGTGCCCCAGACCCACTGGCTAAGCCCCAGCTTCACAGACCTGGGGACACAGAGGTCCCAGGATGGCAGGAGGTCTGGGGCTGTCTGGCCAGGAGTGAAACATTTCAGAGACTGAATCCAGTCAGTGGGAGGGCTCAGATCCCCTCTCTCTGTCCTAGGTGGGGATGGGGCCCTGGGCTCCACCAAGGGTGGAGAGGGTGATGCTGTTGCCCTCGGAACCTTCTGGCCCTGGGAAGAGGAGGTGGCTGCCTGTGGGCCTGATCCTGCCCTGAGCCATGTATCCCAAGTGGAGGTGACAATTTTCTGAGTAGCCATGTGGCACAGTTGGCTTTGGAGGCACAGATCTAGAATGTTCCGCAATCTCTTGAGCCTCAGGTTCTTCATCTGGAAAGTGGGACTAGTAAGTAATAAAGCCCCTATGGACGCTGAGCAGGTGGTGTGGGTCGAAGGGAGGAGGCTGAGCTCTGCCCTATGGCCACTGTGAGGAATAAATGATGCTCTGACAGTAGGTGTGCAAGAGCCCTGAGCCGGAGCTGTGTGCCTCCTGGAACCCCTTCCCAGGTCCAAGGGGAGCCAGAGGAGAGAACGTTCTGAGCAGTCTCCTGTCCGCTATCGTCCTTTTCATCCTCTGCTCTGCCGAGGGCAATCCCCACGAACAGCTCCCCCAGATCTCCAAGGGGGGATGTTCTGTGCCTGCTATCTTCGCCCACAGAGCATTCAGGAACTTATGTGTTGGTGTGGTCTCAGCCTTGGCCTGAGTCTGGAGGCCGCCTGTTCCTCTGGAGGAAATGGGTGAGGGGCCCCAGCACCAATAGCCACAGCCCGGTGTGGAGGGTGCCTGTGTTCCGTCTTTTCTCCTTTGAGCATCCTGAGGACCCCAAGCAGGCTGGAGATAGAACAAAACTCGAATTTTTAAAAAAATTTTATTTACTATTTTTAAATTTTGTATGTACGAATGTATTGCCTGCATGTATGTAAGTGCACGCATGTCATGCAATGCCCATGGAGGTCAGAAGAGAGCATCGGATCCCCTGGAATGGAGTTACGGACAGTTGTTAGCTGCCATGTGGGTGCTGGAACTCAAACCCAGGTCCTTTGCAAGTGTAGTCAGAGCTCTTTTAACTACTGAATCATCTCTTCGGTCCCTGAAGCTTGGATTTTTATTTATCTTCTGGAAGAGGCAGAAATAAAGGGTGGGTGGGTGACTTTACCCCTCTGTGTATCCCCTAGACCTGCCCCTGCCCTGTCCCTCTATACCATTCTAGGTCTGCACCCTGATCTCTATGCCAGCTCAGCCTAGCCCAGGGTGACTCAGTTTGGTGGCCCCACCAAACTCAGTTTGGTGGCCCCACCCACTGCCTGCCCGCACCCCCAGGCGGGTGACTCAGGAGCTGGGTAGTCTCCAAAAGGCCCCTGGAATGTTCTTGTCCAGACTCCTGTGGTCTCCATGTGGGCCAGGTGGCCTCCCTGTTTTGTGACCTTGGGTGGGGCATCTCCCTGTTTTGTGACCTTGGGTGGGGAGGGAGTCAGCCTTCTGATCCCTTCAGCCTAGCAGAGTATAAACACAGTCTGGCTTTTGTCGGGGCAGCTGGAGGGTGGGAACAGGAGCCCGGGCTCAGTGTCCTGTTCCCAGACCCTGTCTTCTTGCCCTTGTCATTGTATCTGGCTGCCACCCCCTGATGTATACTGGGACACTTGGATGGTGGGTTCTAAAGCTTGTCAGCAGGGACACTGGTCAATTCTGTTTGGAGACTTCTGGGCACAGAGTATGGGCTTAGCCTCCTACTGGATGCTGTGACTGGAGCACGACTGCCTGCAGAGCCCTGTGGGGAGGGGAGAGGTTTCACTGCAGGGGTTGAGCCTGGCAGACCTCTAAGGCAGGAAGCTCAGGAAAGTCAACTGCAAGTCAGCCTGGTAGGGAAGGTTCAGAGAAGGCAGGTGCAGAGGGACCCAGGGTGGGTTGCTGGTTGCCCAGGGTTGGAGCAGGAGTGACTGCCAGGCACACTGGGTTCGTTTTGGAACTTGTGGGAAAGTACCAATACCACTGACACTTTTAGATGGTTTGTTACATTCGGGGAATTCCACCTCAGTTAAGGAAACACAGCATTAGGCATGGTGGTGCTTGCCTGTAATCCCAGCACTCAGGAGGCTGAGACAGGAGGATTGCCATAAGTTCAAGGCTTGTCTGGGCTATATGAGTATCACACCAGCCTAGTGTGGGCCTGTAGGTAGCACTCAGGAGTTGGGAGACTGAGATAGGCGGTTCATGAGTGCAAGGCTAGCTTGGGCCATGGAGTGAGTTCCAGGTCAGCTTGGGCTATACAGCAGCCTGTGTCACAAAACAAAACAATAGCAAAACCAATAGAAAACCATGACAGGTGTCACAGCAGGATTGATACGGTGACAGGGCCTTGACAACAGATGGAACAGGGTCTGGATCCAGGATCAGAGACTAGCCAGTGGAGAGACTGATTCAGTTGGCAAATATTGAGCATAAGCAGAGACCGTATGATTTCCTCCTCCTCTCCTTCCCTTCGTCCCTCCTCCCCTTTTATTAAGGCAGAGTCTCCCTGTGTAGCCAAGGCTGGCCTAAAACTCACAGTCCACCTGCCTCAGCCTCCTCAGTGCTGGGGGTTTCAGGCTTTGTTACCATATCTGGCGGGGCTACACATTGTCTTATCTCAACTCTGGTAAATGCAGAAGTAGCCATCCCACTTCTGCCTCCTGGTGCAGCTTCTCAACCAGGTGCTGAGCAGCCTGACTGTAGACCCTGCCTCCTACCTTCCCGTCCAGGGCCCAATACCCACCCCACCCCGCTCTGCTTCCCGTTCTGCCCAGACATATGTATGCATGTGCCTGCATGTGAATGTGATGTGTATGCATGCATCTGCATGTGAGTGTGGTGTGTATGTCTGTGTGCTGTGTGTCTGCATGTGTCTGAATATGTGTGGTGTGTGTGCTGCCTGCCTGTGTGTACTATGTGTCTGCATGTGGGGTGTGTTGCCTGTGTGTGTATATGTGTCTGCATGTGTACGTCTGTGTGTGGTGTGTCTGTAGTGTGTGCGTCTACGTGTGTGTGCATGTGTGTGTGCCTGAGTATGTGATGAGTGCCTGCATGTGGTGCATGTGTGCATTGCATGTGTGTGGTGTGTTTGTATGTGTGTGTATGTGTGCACATGCATGTGGAGGCCAGAAGTTGACATCTGGTTTCTTCCTTGATAACTTTTCTCTTTATGGACTGAGGCAGGGTCTCTTGTTGGACCCAGAGTTGAACAATTCAACTGGTCTAGCAGGCCAGCTTGCTCTGGGAATCTCCTGTCTGCCTCCAGAGTGCTGGGATCACAGGTGGGCTACCACACTCACCCAGCATTTCCTTGGATTCTGGAGATCGCAGCCCCAGTCCTCATGCTTTCCAGCAAGTGCTTTACCCACTGAGCTGCCTACCCCGCCTGTGTGTGGTTTCTTGTCTAACACCCCTTCATTCTCTAGCCATAGTTGGTCTGAGTTTGTGGGAACTCAAGACTCCCATTTTTGTTGGGGAAACAAGTGCAGTCAGGATGCTGACTGGTGTAGGGTCCCACAGTGGGCAGAGGCAGAGCTGGCTCTGGTCTTCTACCCTGGAGGCTCCACTCTCTTGATAGGCTCAGTCCCAGTGAGCATACTGAGTGCTAGAAGACTCGCCCAGCACTGGGTGCTTAGTAGGTCCACAGCCTTCATCCTTGGTATCCCATGACCTTGAAGCAGTGGGCAAGGGCATATGGCTGACCAGCATCCCAGGAAACCTACTGGCTTCCTCTGCCCCTATTTACTAAAGCTTGACTCCAGCCCAGTGATTGGATGCATGGACCCTTGGGCCAGTTTCTAGACATGGTGGGGGACCCAGTCCTGAACACTTCCCTGAGTGTCCACAAGAGAGTAACTTTGTGACCTGGGAAGAGCCTGGCCCAGATTGCTGGGTGGCCCTGGGCAGGTTGCTCTCTCTCGGTGCACAGGATGGGCCTCTGGGGTGGAGGTGAAACACCCATACACAGATACTCTTATGGTGCCCACTGGGCTGGGCCTAAAGTATACAGTGACCATATCCCATTCTGCTTAGGGGGAAACTGAGGCCCAGAGGATTGAAATAACTTCCCTGAGGTCATGGCGGGAAACAGGGCTTTGAGAAGGCCAGGCTTTGCCGGCTGCCAGTCACCAACGGAATGAGGGAATGAGTGAAGATGGACTGAGGTGTTGGAACATAATGCCTGGGTCTTCCAAGCCCTTGGGCAACATTTGGTCCCAGGAGAGGAGAGCTGAGTCTTAATGGAGGGGCAGAGGTCACACTAGGAGGTTGAGGGTGAGATGAGAGAACAGATGCCCAAAGTAGGGCAGGAGCTGGGGCTGGGTGGAGCCACAGGGAGTGGGAGTTTGTGTGGAGTGTTTCCCCTGGAGCCTGGGAGTTAGTGGGAGACTGATCCTAGGGACAAAATCTCAGAGGTGCTGAAGGCAATGGTGGGCTGACACCTGTGGTCCTCCGAAAATACTGTCACCTTGTCCTGTGTTCTCTTTCAGGTCTTTACAGAACAGCAGTGCAGCAGCCATGGCTCCACCCTGGGTGCCCGCCGTGGGCCTCACACTGGCACCCAGCCTGGGGGGCTTCGTAGGTGCCTACTTTGTGCGTGGCGAGGGTCTCCGCTGGTATGCCAGCCTGCAGAAGCCGTCGTGGCATCCACCTCGCTGGACGCTGGCTCCTATCTGGGGCACGCTGTATTCAGCCATGGGGTAGGTGTATCATCTTGGGGTGCTCTGTCCCCCATGGATACAGGCTGGGCAGGGCATCAAGCCCCTTAGCTGAGGAAGTCTGGGACAGAGATGGCATCATGTGGGGGTTGGGGAAGGTGTCGAGATTTCGGTTCTATTTAGAGTTGCACAACTAAACTTTTCCCTGCTGGCTTCTGGAGAGAGCTGCCTGCTGGTTCACCCTACTGAGGCTGCCCCAAGTCTAAAAGTCAGTGTGGAGGACAATGGACAACACACCAAGACAAACAGGCGGCCGTGCAATCCCTTGGTTGGACTGTGAATCGCCAGGCCCCGGTGTGGTTCATTTGGGGAAGACTTTCTTGATGGTTGTTTCACGGCCCTGACAGCCTGTATGATGGGGCTACCGCTGTCCTCTCCTCCCCCAGCCACTGTCCCATAGCCACACATTGACTCAGGGTCTTAACTCAAATCTCTGTAGCAATCCTATGAGAAACAAAGGCCCAGAGAGGGCAAGCAACTTCTCTGCAATCACACAGAAGTCAATAGCAGGGTATGCCTGAGTGATCACTGTTGGTCTCAGCATGGTGGTCATGGCCTTTTCCATCAGATTTCCCTGACTGATGGCCTCTCTTTCAGGTATGGCTCCTACATGATCTGGAAAGAGCTGGGGGGTTTCACAGAAGAGGCTGTAGTTCCCTTGGGCCTCTACACCAGTCAGCTAGCCATGAACTGGGCATGGCCTCCAATCTTCTTTGGTGCCCGGCAGATGGGCTGGGTAAGTGTAGTCTTGATCTGAATCTTGGGTTGATGGAGATGCCCCTTGAGGATGGGGGCTCACCATCAGTGTCTGCAGGAGACTGGGGAGGCCTGTGGCTCATAGCCCCTTTAGAAGCTCTGTGAGCCAAGTGCAGTGGGGCACCTGTGGTTCGAGCGGGATGCTGAAGTGGGGGGATTGCTTGAGCACAGAACAGCAGGCCTGCCTAGTGTCAGTGAGCCCCATCTCCCATCTCAGAAAGAAAGGCAGCTGTTTGTGGACCCGTGTGCTGAAGTCCTCTCATCCTATCTTCCCAAAGCCAGGAGTGCTAAATTGAAGTGCAAGGGGTTGCAGGCTTGGCTTAGGGGCCATGGCATGGGAAACCCATTACACCTGGTGTTGTGCACCAATACATGGGGACAAAACCTCTCTTTTAAAAGGTTCTTGTTGTTGGGTTCGGGGGCATACACCTTTAATCCCAGTACTCCAGAGGCAGAGGCAGGCGGATCTCTGTGAGATCAAGGCTGGCCTGGTTTACATAGCAAGTTCCAGGCCAGCTGGGGCTACACGGAGACCCTGTCTCAATAAACCAAGAAAAAAAACTGGGTTCTTGCTGTTGGGTGGTACATACCTGTAGTCCCAACAGAGGCAGGGGGATGGATATAAGTGAGGCCAGCCTGGTCTGCATAGCTAGTTCCAGGTTAGCTAAGGCTACATAGTGAGACCCTGTCTCCAAATAAAGGAAAAAAAGTTCTTGCTGGGCCTGTGGAACGCACGGCACCAGGGTTTGGCCCATACTCTGGCCGCTCAGGACAGCAAGTGTTGTGTCTTGAGGTTGGAAGCCTTCAGCGGCTGCCTCACCCTTGAACTGCCCGCCCCTTGGAGCTGTCATGAACATGCCACACGTGGCACTGTCAGGCAGGAAAGACTTCCATTTGCCGACAACAGAGAGCAGAGGTGGGTGTGGCTCCACTTCTTGGGTGCGGGGCTGAGTGAGGCTCCAGACTTCTAGACCCAGCCCTCAACCTCCATGTCTTGTCTCCCCAGGCCTTGGCAGACCTCCTGCTCATCAGTGGGGTGGCGACTGCCACGACTCTTGCCTGGCACCGAGTGAGCCCACCAGCGGCCCGCCTACTTTATCCCTACCTGGCCTGGCTGGCCTTTGCCACCACCCTCAACTACTACGTGTGGCGTGATAACCGTGGTTGGCGTGGGGATTCACGGCTCCCAGAATGAGGGCACCCAGCTTCCTGAGGACTGCAGCACCCGTCAGCCACCATGGGTGGTGGCTGTCACGCTTTCATGGCCACTAGGCCTGTTCTCTTTTTTGACCCAGGGAGTTGCCAGAGCTCAAGGTGTTCTCTGCAGAGTCCCATCCTGGAAACAGTATTTGACCTTTCTGTGCTGCTCCAAGCATGCCCTTGTCGCATAGGGCTTTTAAAGCTAAATACAGTTTTTAACCTCCTGTGCAGTGAGTGGCCTCTGTGCTGTTGGAAGACCATGGGGCAGGCAGGGGCTATGGCTGTGTTGGGCCTATCTGGGTTGCATCATCCAGCTTGTCCACCTAGGATGGCCCCACAAGGGAGTGTTGAGCCACAGCACCAGCAGACAGGGCCTTCTCGCTGGGCCAGACCCACAGAGACTTGAACCGTCACCCACCCCTACCTAGGGTTCCAACTGGGTAACCTATTACAAGGCAGTTTAAACAAGCCAGGACACGGTCCCTTGCACACAGGCACTGCCCTGGGCCTCCCTGCTGCTCCCACATGCCTGTGCACGTATATGGTTCCCGCAGGGCATAGATACTGCTCCAAGTATCACAGGCACCCACATGCATGCTGGACACTCAGGTTAAGTGCACACAGGACTTACTGGGGCTTCTTGACAGTGCTTTTCCACTCGCCCTCCATGGTGCGCACCTCCAATACTGCCCCACAGCACACTGCCTGCTGACCAAAAGCACCAGGGAGAAACTGGGCTCTTTTGACACCTACAAACACCCTTCTCTTGCCCACCACTAGAGGCACCCGCTCTCCTGTGCTGTCATCAGCTGTTACCGAGCGCTTTGGCCCACCTTTGCACACAGGCCTGAGCACCTTCCTGTGAACCCTTTCTGTGTACCTGCATCCCCCCGCTGACTGGTCACACAGCCCAGATGGGCTAGGTGGTGACCTGGTGTGCATGCGGTGGCCAGCCACAGGAACTAGCCTCTTCACACTGAGGCAGCTGCTGACCATTTCCAGTAGACACTTCCCAAGCCCCACCCGATTCCTTCCGCAGCACAGTCGCCAACTGCCTGGGCTCTCCAGCCAACTCCACTGGCCAAAGGTGGGCATGTGCTGGCCTTTGATGGTCCCTGGAGAGAAAGCAAGCAGGGTGTGGATGAACCAGGCAGAAGCCATCAGTGGGATGCCTTCTTGAGATGGGAACCCCCGTGACAGCTGAGCATGGAGGCTGCTGGGCTGACTGGAGCTGTGTGGTCACCCAGGCATAGTGTTTATAAATTATCCTTTTGTGTCTGTGCATGGAGCTCAGAGGACAACCTGTGGGAGTCAGTTCACACGCTTCACCATGTGGGTCCCAGGGATTGAACTCTGGTCTTTGGGCTTGCCAGCAGGTGCCTTTAACAGCTCAGCCATTTCTCTGGCCTTCTGACTTGTGGTCACACCTGCCCAGCCTTACTCCTGGGGCTGCTCTGCCTCCTGTACTTTAACTCCCCAGACTATCAACTGGCATCACTGCTGCCCAACAGGGCTTGCATCCTCCATCAGTGCCCCACCACCTTCTTCACTACCCTGTGATAGACAACACAGAATGCCATTTCCTGAGGCTACTGTGTGGGGACAAGCCTCAGATCCTGTGAACCCCAAGGCCCCCTGCAGGTGTGTGGACAGAACAGGCACAACTCAGCTCAGGTGTGGAACTGGGACTCTCACTAGGGAGTCAAACTGGGTTAGGAAGTTTGGAGATTTGATGGCTTTCTTGCCTCATTTCTCTAAGCACGGTGACATGTTGGGTACTGCTGTGACAGCTCTGGGGGGGGCAGACGGATGACACTGTGGCACACCCAGGCTTGTGCCTCCAAAGCACTAGAGAGAAAAGACCAGTTGCAAAAGAATGCATACTTTACTGCAGTACAAAAGGGCAGGAAAGGTAGAGCTCTCAAGACAGAATCGGGCGTCTGCCCTGCCCTGGCCTTGCTAGCTGATGGTTCCCAGTGGTGGACTGACCCTGCAGGGATGGGGGACCAGGCTTGATAGCTGGTGGCCCACATGCCCAGAGATGGACAAGCAGAACCACATCCAGTTTTCTTAAGAGGGGGCTGCTTTTGGCTTCAAAAGTGCAACAGCCAGCACACTGGCTCCACCCTCCTAAGCAGTGGAAAGCTCTGCAGGCAGCTCCCACCTGTGCTCATCAGACCCACTGGCTAGTGGGCTGAAACCAGATGTCTGGCAGTTACACAGAAACGCTGGCAGCCGACCTCGAATTCTAGCAACAAAGTTAACAGCTAGAGTTTACATCTTCTTCCCACAGTTCCAGAAAGGACAAACCCCAGCATCGACTCTATACCTCGGTAGGAGGCAGCCCGCTTCCGATTCAAGTTCTCCCCACCACCATCCTGCTCGCCTTGGCGTTTCCCCACCACTCCTGCCTGGGCTCTGCCATGGAGCCCCTTGTCTCCAGAGCACCCTGCCTACCTCAAAGGCCAGTGGTACCCGGTGAGGTATTAGCGTGGAGGCCACAGGGACCCAGAGAGTCTGACTTCCCAGAGGAAGAGAAAGGTCAAGGGGAGACATGGCTGGGAAGTTCACTGGTGACAGCTGTGGTGGAGGGCGCCTGGGTGTAAGGCCTGGTGGGTAAATGCTGGCCCTCATTCTAGGGCCTGTCACAGAGACTTGTGGGCACAGCACCAGCCTTGCACTCTACTCAGGGAAGCCACGGGGCAGAAGGCAGACTCTGAAAGAGACCTCCCTTGCTCTGCGGGACACAGGTTTCCCAGATGCTTCCCTCTAGAACCAGGTTTCTGAGGAACACCTCTTCCTCCACTGTGGATACGTGGTGGCTGGAATCCAAACTCTTGATGCCAGAGGTAAAGCCCTTGGTTGAGCCAAATGCTCATCAGAGCCCAGAGGACATCAGGAGGTGTGGAGAGAGCCTGGGGCATGACCCAGTCCTGGGGACACCCCCACTGTCCAGCTCTGACCCATTATGTGGCCCTGAAGTCCTAAAGTATGAAGCAGGGACCTGACTGAGGAGGGTGGAAGCCTAACCTAGGCTGAGGCTCTGACTCAGAAGGGACGAGGAGGCAGAGGAAGACGGAGAGGAGGTAAGGAGGGAGAAGGACGGACTACAGAGCTGGCTCTCAGAGCTGAGGCTGGAACTGGCGCCTAGATGATGCGGGTGACATGGCAGCCACTCGGCTGGTCCAGGAACAAGGTGCTGAAGACGTCGTTGAAGAAGGTGGGGTGGTACCTACATGCCCGCTCACAGTCAGGGTTGAAGTTCACCTCCAGGATCTGCGGCTGCATCACCCTCGTTCCTGGTAGCAAAACACAGGTGGGAAGACTCTGGCACCTCGTCCCTGGAGTATGGGCTGGCACTGTGATGGCAGTGGGGGTGGAGGGTGCACACCCCTCTTGGGAAGACAGACTGGGACTGTGGGGAGGGGTCACACTCAGGTCCCAATTCCCAGTGGGTAGGTGCAGGGCAGGACCTAGAATGAGGGTCTACTGTTCCCTAAGGAAAGACTGAGGCTGCCCCTAGCTCTAGGGACAATGAAGGCATCCTGCTTCAAGTGTCTAGGACCAGTTTGGTCAGAGGAAGCAGTGCACAGGGTGGACATGGTGGCCCCAGCACCCAGGGGCCTGGTCAGGGCTGTGTGGGGACAATGCTCCTGTCCTGTGAGCTCTCACAGTACTCCTGTCTTCCACCCTCCCCTTTCCACTCAGGCAGGAGTGTCCCCTTCCCAGTGGACCAGGCCAAGGGCCCCAGGCTGAACCACTTGGCTAATTTCAGTTTATAATTTTTTTTTCTTTTTTCTTTTGGACTCTCTGTAGCCCCAGCTGGCCTAGAACTCACAGAGATCCGCCTGCCTGTGCCTCCAGAGTGCTGGGATTAAAGGCGTGCACCACCACGCTCAGCCCAATTTCAGTTCAAAAGATATGGCCAGGGACAGTACTGGGAGGCAAGGTTGTGCTGGGTGCTGCTGGGCTGTGAGGCAGGCAGACTCCTTACCATCTGAATGGCTGTCCCACTTTAGCATGAGGTCAACAGCATACACAGCTCGGGATGAGGGGTAGTTACCGAGGCCCAGGGGCGGTGGCTTAGCACATGCTACTTGGAACAGTTCAGTGAAGGATTTGAAGATCTCAGCCTGTGGATGAGGAAAGGTCGGTCACAAGGCCTGCTCAGCCTGACCTTGGCACTAACCTCCCAGACGAGCCTCTCAGACAGTGTCCCCTGTCCCTGCCCAAGCCCTGTCCCACAGATGGCCTGAGTCACCCAACACTGCCCACGGCCATGTCTACCTGACACCTGCAGGCTCTGACACTGTCTCTAGGCCTGCCCTTGGCCACATCCACCTGATTATCTGCTGGCTCTGACACCGTCTCTAGGCCTGCCCATGACCATGCTCACCTGACAGGCCATCACAGAGCCCTGCCCCCTGCACAGGATTTCACCTGCAAATCTGCCCATCTCCTGCCCTAGAGTCACCATGAGCCCTTTGTGTCCCCAGTGGACTTGGATTCCTGGGGCTGGAAGAGCTATCATCCTTGGGCATGTCTCAGGGTGCCCCAAATTCTCTTCCAGATCCCTCCCTCCTGCTGAGGAGCCTCCAGAATGCTTCACATGGGCCCAGAGTGCAGGAGAGGGGTAGTCTTAGCTTCCTCAGTGAGAGAGGACCACTTAAATTTGTGAGGGAAGGGGTGGCTTCCACAGGACCCCGGCTGCTCCCTCCCCAACCCGGTCTGGTGGAGCCCGAGACTTACCTGGACACCACTCCAGGGAAACTCTGGGTACTGCTTCTCAAACTGGGGGATGAACTCATCATAATGCACCTGCAACAGATGCAAGCTGGTTCTGCTCAGCTGCAGCTGCCCTGGGCTAGAGGGAGAGGCTTGCTCCTGCCCTAGAACCTCTTGGGTCAGCTCCACACGACAGTGTACAGCTCCGGCTCTCAGGATACAAAGACATTGAGGTTAAGCTCTGGACAGGCGGAATAATGGCTGAGCCTGTTTCCCCTTTGGTGAAAGGAGAGCAGAGCACAACCCTGTTCAGCTCACTCTGCAGAGCTGCTGGGAGGCTCTAGTAAGGCTCCCAAGGCCAGGGGTTGGGGAGGCTGCTAGGCCTGGCCATCACACACAGCTCATAACCCAGACAAGCTCTGCAGGGCCACCATGGCCTCTGTACCAGCCCAGAAACACCCACAAGAACTTTAGGGCGAGATTTTACCTAAAACACCTAAATACACTGGACAAGGACAAACCAGCACAGGCCCCCAGAGGCTTAGCTAATACCCATGCCCCTCTGGACCAGTGTCCCTGAACCCAGGTCTTCTCAGATGACATACTCATGAGGCAGAGGGAAAGCGTTCAGCAACCCTCTTAACAGAGTCCAGGCCCCTGACAGGTGTTCTGGGTCCTGCAACCAGGCTGGAGTGGGAGGGACAAGAAGCAATAGAGCCGCTTGGCCCTGACTCCGCCGTTGCAGTTCCCTAGCCATGACCAGCCCCACCCCCCGACCCAAGATGCCCAGGCAGGGCCCAAAGAGGTGTCTCTGGCATGAGAACAGTAACCATGTGAACTAGGTGAATATGAGGACCACCTGCTACTACACTCAGCACCCAGGATGAATCTAGAAATGTGATGCTTGAACCAGACACGATGGTACAGTCTGTAATCCAGGCACTCGAGGCAGGAGAAATGAGAGTTTGAAATCAGCCTGGACTGCCTCAAACACACACACACACAAACACACACACACACACACACACACACACACAGGAATCAAGGCGATTCTGAAAAGGACAGTCACATGTTCTAGGGAAGGAGGACATGCGGTAGAAAGCAGGATTTTTCCTGGCCTGGTGTCAGACAGAATTGGGATTCAGGTGCTCAGTGCTTAATTTGTCTGAAATGCTCGTCAGCCTCAGCGAGGCCTCTGACATGAGCAGCTCACTTTTCCTTTCCTCCCAGGTCCTGGTGCCTGCACCTTCCTGTGCCAGTATACTGCTGGTCTGCTGTCCTGCCACCTCACCTTAGAAGGTGCTCTGCCCTGCTGCCCTGAGCCCTGCCTTCTGATGGAGCTGCTGCCTCCCCGTGCCCCCGGTGTGGGAGGGAGTCCTGTGGAGACCTCACTCTACTCCGACTCACCCTGGGACCAGGGCATCCTGTTCTTCACCTTCAACAGTGTGTGCCCTTTAGCACTGAGGGAAGGACTCCCTGACAGGACAGAGACCCCAGCTACACCCTTCCACAGCTGAAGCCTAGATCCACTCTGAGCCCCGACCAGGCCCTACCTGCTTCAGCACCACATCTGGGTCATAGTTCATGACAGTGAAATGTTTCTCGTAGTCGTCCAGGTCATCGAGAGCGAAGGGCCTGGGAGACAAGCAGACAAGCTCCTGAGCTTTACGCAGGGGCTGCTCACTGACTAGGCCTTCCCTGTGGGTCACTGGGCAATGCTCCTAGCTGCCCTTGTCTGTTGAGAGGGGTAGCCTCCCTGCACGAGTTGGGGTCAAGACCAGCAGCGTGCTGTTGACATTCTCTGTAAGCCATGACACGTGTCAATGTCTAGCTCACAGGAGCGCCACATCTGCTATAGTGATGATACTACTGAACACTGAGGCTGCGGGCTGTGAGCACAGTAGGAGTCCGGCGCAGGCTTTCTGGGGTTCTATCTAGCCGCTTCCTTGCCCAGTCCCCTAGCATCCTGACCCCGGGACCCAGCACATTCCACGTACCGGTTGGAGAACCGCAGCCAGAACACATCATACACAAATAACACCAGTGGCTTCACAGAACGCAGCAACACAATGTAGCGAATGTCAAACTTGACATTTCCCACATCTTCTCGAAGGAACAAGACGGGGCTTTCAATGTATTTGGACACAACCTGGAGGACAGATGTGGACTCACTAGTAGCTCCCACCTTGCCTGGCCAAGACAGAGTTCCTAGGAGCTTATGTACCCTGAACCCCACGAAGAGGGCCCCTCTACCTATATCCACAAGACTTGGCACCCAACACCATTGTGGCCAGACATGGCTGCCCTCAGCTCCTCCTGCCTTTTTGAAGTCTGGCTACGAGGCAGCAAGCTCTTTATATTCACCCCTACTTTAGGATTTATTTATTTTTTGTTTTTATTCAAGACAGGGTCTCTCTGTAGCCCCAGTTGGCCTGTAACTTGCTAACTGGCCTCGATCTCAAAAAGATCCACCTGCCTCTGCCTCCTGAGTGCTGGGAACTGAACCCAGGTCCTCTACAAGAGCAGCAAATGCTCTCAACAAGCCCTGACCCATCTCTCTAGTCCCCACCTCTACTTTATTTAAAGGACAAAAATCTTGCAGTTATCAGCATTTTGTGCCTCTGAGAGTGTGTGAGAACAAGAGCGAGAGGGAGAGGCCAGTGTTCAACCCTGGCTGTTACTCCACATGTTATCCACATTGGTTTATATATACATATTGTTTGAGACAGCATCTTTCACCGGTCTGGAACTCGCCAAGCATGCTGGCTGGCTGGCTGGCCGGCGAGCCCCAGGAACCTGCCTGTCTCTGCTTCTCCAGTGCTGGGATTATAAACATGCACCACTAAGCTTGGCTCTTTTCTTACATGGGTGCTAGGGATCGAACTTAGGTTTTCAAGCTTGCAAAGCTAGTGCTTGACCCACTGAGCCATCTCTCTAGCCCCAGTTTTCAGGTTTGGAAAACTGGAATTTTTAGCAGCAGCTCTGTCCCAATTCCCTACAATGACTGACAGTCCTCAAAGTCCATTTCTCACCAGCCCCCACCATGTACATGCCCCCCATGTAGCTACGGCCCAGGAGGATCCTGTGTAGTGAGAGTCCAGCTCCCCCATGGCCCATCCCTACAGGATCATCACCACAGACTAGGGGCTCCATGGGTGATCATGCCAAGCAGTGAGTAGTATGATCCCCACAAGCTGAGTGACGTCAAGTCATTGCTGACTTCCAATCCTTGGACCCATCCAGACTTCCTGATGCCCAGTGACCTTGGTGTTGCCCGTGTGGAGTACCGAGTATGGGGAGCTGTAGGGCCCACCTTGGGGGTGCTCTCTCGGTGCCGAATGATGCTATGCAGGTTCTTGGTGACATGTGTGTCAAGGCTGCGGGCCAGGTTCCAGGGCTTACAGATCCAGTGGTTGTCCTCACCCCTGGGGAATGAGAGGGTTAGCTATGTTGCACCCTGGGGTCTGCCTTCCAGGCAATGTGTCCCAAAGATCTGGCTAGACTGGCTAACCAGTGTCTTGTAGGGAACCAGGGCCAGTGTCACAGAGGCACTGGAAATCTGGAGTTTGCTAAAGCCCAGGGAGCCACCCAGGGTGGAAGTTCCCCTCCAACCTCTACAGACACACCAAGAGAAGCAGTTAGTGCATGCGGTCAGCACTGCAGCACATGCGGTCAGCACTGCAGCACGCACAGCAGGTGCTCAGCTAAGGAGCAGGCTGGACACAGAGTGAGGGTGTTCAGGGGGCGGGGCTGCTGCAGGAGCATGATGGAAGGTCCTAGAGGTGTCTGTCTGCCCCCCCTCCGTATCTGGGGAGCTTACCGCCTCTCCCGCTGCTGGAAATAGCTGACAAACTGAGGTAGCTCAGTGAGTAGGTTGAAGGTCCGGGGCAGCCATGGGGGGCCCTCTGGACCCCCAGCCCGGCGAGCGATGGAGGCCAGGCAGTCCTTTACTGTCAGCAGGTTCTCACAGGGGAACTGGTTAAGTAGCACCTGCGGCCTCTCCTGGCTGAGCTTCCTGTGGAGACAGAGATGGCTGACTCGAGAGGACAGCTCAGTGTTCTAAGGGGAGTTGGCAGCTCCGAGGGTGATGGGCAGCCAGAGATGCTGGGCAGGGGTCCCTCTGAGCTCTGAGGTGCCCACCTGTAGTCCTTGAAGTGCGAGAAGTTGTAGAGGATGTCGGCATCAGCCTCGCTCTCGATGAAGGTGAAGCGTGGGTGGCTGAGGTGGCTGAGAACTTGCTGCACATCAGTGTGGACCCTGTGGAGAGGCCTGAGTGAGCAGACGCCCAAGGGAGGGAGGCTGCCTGCACACAGCTCTGGCCGACCCTGGCTGAGTCACTGAGTTCCAGCAGAGTCCTGGGCTCCAGGATGGCGTTGGCAGCCCGGATCTAGAGCAACTTCCTCTGCCCAGATATAGAAATTCATGTCCCCAGGTTCCCAACTGCAGGATGAGACCATCTGTCTCACATCTGTCATCAGGACAAAACAAAATGGCGTAAGTGTTTACTAGACGTTGGTCTCACATGGAAAAACTGGATGGGCCTGAGGCACGCAGGCACAGGGACAAGAACAGCTTAGAAACCCTGGATACTCTGGGTAACGGACAATGGAACAGGTTTTTTTTCCTCCTAACAATCATCAAACTTGCACAGTTTCTAGTTAAACCTTTCCCCATTCATCCTGGTTTGAGGGTCTGGCCTGAACTGGTTTGAGGTGCACTGGCAATAAGGCAAAGCTGTGTCCCCATCCCCTATTTACTATGCATAACTGGGCATGCATATGATTAAAATAAGATGCATTATGGGAAGAGATGTGCAGCGGGCAGAGGTCTATCTAAGCCCATCAGTCAGAACAGAGCATGTAGCAACCAAACTCCTTGAACAAAAAGGGAGCCACTAACGAGAACTGGGGTCCTTGGGCATTGTGGTGGTTTGAATAAAAATGCCCCCACATTGGCTCCAGGGATTTGGACACTTGGTCTCCAGTGTGTGGTGCTGTTTGGGAAGGGTCATGGAACCTTTAGAAGGTGTGGCCAATCTGGAGGGAGCATGTTGCTAGGTGCAGGCTTCAGGGGTTCTTAAGCCTTGCTGATTTTTAACCTCTTTGCTTCCTGTGCCTGCTTGAAGATGTGATCGGTCCATCCACTTTTGTTGCCATGCCTCCCCCGCCATTATGGACTCTTACCCTGGAACTATAAGTGCAAATAAACTCTTCCTTCTCTAAGATGCTTTGGTGACGGTGTTTCATCACAGCAACAGAAAAGGAACTAATCCGAGCATCTCACGCGTGTGGCCCGCTGTCCACTGTAACAGCGCCATTTCTTTCTACTATGTGGTGAGCTTTGCTTCACAAACAGGCTCCTTGCCCCTCTGCACTGGGTGGGCTTTGATCTCACTCTCGAATACGAGGCCTAGAACCTGGAAACACCCAGACAGACCCTAACCTCTGGTAGCAATCTCCCAATTCCCATGGGTGAGTGTTCAGGGTTCTCGTGAACCTGCCGGCTTCCTACTGACCAGCAGGTGATCAAGACAAGTATCATGAGAGGTCTCATGTTGCCCTTGGAACCCAGGATAGTGGTGAGGACAGGGCTGGGGAGCCAGCCTGCTGGGGTGTGACGGAGGAGCTCCTACCTCTGAAGGAACCAAGGAGGCCCCTGGCAGAGGAACGAGGCAGGTAGTAGCCAGGGGAGGTCAACACAGGGGCACTGGCCTGCTTGGGTGGGGCTGGCAGTGGGTGGCTGACCCACCTGTGGTAGGAATGACCGTGAACCATAGTCGTGAGCAAGACCCTCAGCAGGCCTCCATCTAGTCTGTCCCAGAGGTGTGTGCATGTGTGTGTATCAAGGCTGGACCGGTGGCTCAGGACAGGCCCTAGACTAGGGCTCTGGCCTCAGGCAAGGAGGGCCCAGCAGAGAGGTCATGCCTAAGACCTGGGAGAAGGGGACAGAGTGGAGGACATGCCCATTTCTAGCTGGACCAGATTTAGGCAGCCAAGGGGTGGCATCTAGGGGCTGTAGGGAGGGCTCCTGGGAACAAGGAGGCCTGGCTGGCCCTGTTCAGCACTAAGTGGGTGTGGTCCCGTACCTAGGCTTCTCTGCCAATTATGCACAGTAACTGCTTATTTCTGCCCACACCCACAAACTCCTGGCTCTCCTGGCAGGACGGTGCCTCTTCTTTTCCCTTGTTGGTTTTTTCAGACAGGGTCTCACTCTGTAGCTCAGGATGGCCAAGAACTTGTGGCAATCCTCCTGCCACAATCTCTCCTATTAAGATCACAGGCCTGTGGGCTGGAGAGACGGCTCAGCGGTTAAGAACACTGGCTGTTCTTGCAGAAGACCCAGGTTCAAATCCCAGCACCCACATGGCAGCTAATAACTGTAACTCCAGTTCCAGGGCATCCGAAGGCCTCTCTGTCCTCCGCGGGTTCACTTACCTACATGCAGGCAATACACGCATACACATAAAACGAGAAAGAAAGAATCACAAGCCTGTGTGCCACTGTGCCCGGCTGTTTCTGATTTCCAGGGGAAGGTTAACACCGCCCCTCTGGGCAGCCTTGCTTAGCCTCTCACTTTTTACTACTTCCTCTGTGGTTCCAAGAACTCCACACCTGGCAGCGTCACTACCTTACCTGGATTCCCAGTCTGTCGGACACAGCCAATAAACTGGGGCCTGGATAGGCCCTGCTCTGGGACTGGCAATGGTGCCAAGTTGGGAGAGTGACCAAGGAGAACGGGTTGTGTACCTGAAGATGCGCTCCTGAGGATGCACCGCTGGGCTGATGGCGAGCGGAAGTTTCTCCTTGTTTTCCTCCAAAACGGCCTAGAAGGAAATGTACCACAGAGACAGACCTCAGCAAAGGGAAGAAATGACCAGAGTTTCCCCACCCTGTAGGTCAGGCCCCACCCTCGGGTGGAGCCCTTCCTGGTTCTCAGTGGCTAGCCAGCTCACCCCACCTGAGGCTCTGGACCCTCTGGCTCCTAGCAGGCCTAGCTTTGCATCCAAAGAACAATTTGTGCTTGTTCACAGCTGACAGAGGTGCCCCAGGGAGCCTAAGGGCTGTTCCTAGCTTAAGCTGCTTGAGAGTTTAAGACACTCCCTTGAGGCAGAGCCCAGTCCATTCCAGGCTGTGGACTGGACCCAGGGAGCTGCTTCTGATGGGCATAAAACAGCAAGTGATGGTGCTACTTCAGAGCTGGATCCCTCAATTCAAGGGAGTCTGCTGGTCTATTCAGTAGTCGAAAGGCCCGTGAGGAGCAGCTGAGGACTCCAGCCAACAGCCAGCCTGACTCTCCAGGCCTCAGCTCCAGGGAGCCTCAGATTCCACAGCTTTGGGGGGACAGTCTGTGTGCCCAGGAGACCCTGAACCAGAAGCATTTGCTGAGTGCTGTCCCTACTCCCATTGTACAGAAACTGTGGGAGGCAACATATATTTGCTGTCCCAAGCGGCTAAGTTGTGGAGTCATTTGTCACCAGCATAGGTTGCATGCCCACCCACAACCCCCATGGCCAGAGTGAGGCTTGGACTCATGGGCCTTCAGAAACAAGGTTTCAGGTGAGGGGTGTCTGGGCTCTGGCTCTTCTCCCTGAGTATGTTCCACTGCCAGACAGCTGGAGGCCATCCAGTGGGACTTTCCCTAGTCACTCTCACGCCTCACCCCGAGCACCCACAGTTCCATGTTCACCAATCTGCACGGAGGTAAAAGTGCTCAGAAGGCTGGGAGCCCAACTCTGAAGCAGCTGCAGGTGTGGTATGGCGGTTCCTTCTGTCTCTCTGGCTTTAGTAAAGGTGCCACAAGACCTCCTGTGGTCTACCCCTGCCAATCAGCAACTCTCGGAGCTTTGAACCGCAACTTGAGTTAACCTGCTGGATCCTTCCACAAACTTCTGAGGCACTCAGTGGTACCAGATGTCTGAATGCCAGGGCAGACTCAAAACAGTGGAGTGAGGTTGGCAGCCTCTGTTCCTGAGCTCCCTCCATTTGACTCCACCTCTCCCACCAGCTGTGTGACCTTTGGTGAGTTACTTAACCTTTCTGTGCCTGTTTCCTTAGCATCATCAATAGAACTGTAATAAGGAACACAGCACAGCCTATCCATAAGGTGCTAGGTACAGGCTCCTATGTGTGCTGATCTGAGGGCAGGGGAGGAGGTTCTGGTAGGGGCTTTCTTCCTAATTGGTACTGAGCCTTGAATGGACTCACTACAGCCAGGTGTTTCTGAGTGGACCAGTGAGGTCCTGGTGTGGCCCTGACCTATAGGCTTCCCCCACATTCAAAGCAGCTTTGCTCTTGGACACAGTGACAGTGGGGCATCCTGGAGGCCTGCTGCGGGCTGGGATGGGACGTGTACTACAATACAGTTGGTCCTCTGTGTCTGTGGGAACCACTCCCTCAGATTCAATATGAGGGACCTGAGCATCCACAGATTTTTCCTATCTGTAGGGTTCTGCAATACGTCCACATTGAATGATTGCTGTGTCTTCCTGTCCCTGTGAAGGAGGCACCATGGGAAGAGGTGGAGCAGAGCAGAATGCCAGCTAGATCTAGCTGCATGGCCCACTACCTCCCAAACCCAGGCCACCTGGCTCCCACAAAGCCCCTTGTCTCTCAGGTGCTCCCCAAAGGCTCCGACATCCCTGACTGGCTGGCTTAGAGACAGAATCCAGCCAGCATTCAGTAACATTTGGTGACAGGCTACAGAACAGTCCAGAAACCACTAAGCACAGAGGCCTGGGGTTGCAGGCACAGGACCACACCTGATAGTATTCGGCGGGTGGCTCGGGCGTGGAAGAGCTGAGGTCCAGCATGTCGGCGGGGGCCCAGGGCAGCAGCATGCATTTCCGGATCAGAGGGTCTGCCTCTCCGTAGGCAAAGTCCCGGGTCACCTCCTCTGCACCAAGACACGTGTGCCCATCAGTGGGGGTGGTGGGCGGCCTGCCCATGGCCCATTCTTTGGGATGGGCAGGCTCCTCACTTACCGCCTGTGTCTAGGTCCCTTAAAGGCCACAGCAGAGTGTAGGCCACCTGCTGTGGCATGTAGAAGAAGGGGGCTGTGGCAAAGCTGGGCACGTCTGCATGTTGGATCCTTGAGCCAAACTCATCCATAATGTACCACACTGGCACTTTCTCTTCGGCTGTCTGTGGGCAGGGCATAATGGTAAATCTCGGCCATGTGTCCACCCACTTGCTGCCCCCACCTGGGCACCAAACTTCAAACCTCAACTGTCTATCTTGGCCTGCTTCTCCTGGCAGACAGGACACAGGACCAGGGTAACAAGGCACCGGGCCCAGGACTAGCAGGGATGGGAAGAGGGTGTGGTGTGCCGGGGAAGGGGAGGCTCTGAGTTCAGGGCAGGCGCCTGGAGTTCGGTCATGAAAACAAAC